ATTTCTTTGAAGAAGGCATGACTGGAGGTACATCTATTATAAGATCATCTTCATCAGAATCTTGAAGATGTATTTTAATTCTTATTGGTGAAACAGAAGTTCTTTGGCTCTCCAGGGACACATGGCGATCTTTGCCTACAGATTCTTTCAAGTGGCAGAAGTGCTGTTGACCAGACTCATCCTGCTTGGCTTTTGATGCCCCAGGTGGATCTGTGGAACAACTGAGCAAAGGATCATATTCAGGATCAGTCCCTGGACACTTGTGGTCCATCCCACACTTTCCAGGCTGACGGTCTTTGTTCTTTGCTGCTGCGTACCGCTTTTCCAACGGGAGCAGGCTATTTTCAGGAAGATCTTGCCTCATATTGGTGTCACTCAAGGAGGCCATCGGGTTTTGGGTTAGTTCTTCCAGTGGTAAAGTACACTTGGCGAGCCTCTTCTGCTCTTTTTCAACTTCAGACTTGACTGACTCAATTTTTCTGTTAATTCTTTCCAATTTTTCCATAGTGGCGCCTAGGGCTGCCAACAGAAAATAAGTTTTAAATCACTGAGGATGAAGTGCTGATTTCAGAATATCCTGGACAAGTAGCTTCCTTTCAGAAGGACATTAACTCTTCCAAACCCAGTATTAGACACAGAGGATGGTTTACTAAGTGATCAGTTCTAGTTGGGGAATGAGAAGTCAATGACTGTTACTGTTGAGGCCTTTCAAGTGTCTAGCTCACTCTCAAGACTTATTAAAGTGCATTCATACCCTATTACTACCGTGATGCTACATCAGTAAGACAGGACTGGTTTGTGCATAACTGTTAAACTGTGCCAAACGTGACATGGTTTGGATATAAATGTTTACCTTCTTATTATCAACCAATGAAATTTGGCACCCGTTCAAACAGCTGAATGCCACTTACACAGAATTTATCAGTAGTCTAACCACTGATAAATCTCCACTGTCCACAAGACAAGGTTATTTAAAGCATTCGTCTTTCCTTCATTTAGCGGGTTTTAACATTCTAAGGACCCTAATGTCTATTGAACACTGTGAAGACAAAATACACTTCCCCAACAACCATAAAAAATTAAGAATTGACAACCAAAACTCTAGAGCGGCTGAATCCACACTCCTGAGGAAACCCAGACTAGTGACAAGACATTAAGGCTTGAAGTAACGTCTGTCCACAACACCCTGACAGCTCCTTCCTGAATTTATATGAATCACAACTGCTTCCCTCTTTCCAAAATATACTTTTCTATGTCAGTAACAGAATAACTTATACAGAATAACGTATACACTTTTCCCTTCTTCCAAACAAGAGATTTCAGATCAGAGATGTGGTCTTAATGATGCTTTTCAAAACTGAATTTATTTTACATCATCTATGTGTTTTGTTAACACACAGGCTCCCTCGTCACACGAGCTTTCTCCTGGCTCAACAGTCTTTCTGCTTACCCTTCATTTCCTATTAAGAAATTAACACGATTGAAATCCAAAACAATGTACCGGAAATGTGACATTTTTATGGAGGAGGGAGGAGACAAGCAAACACGAGAATGAGAACTCTCCTGGGATCCAAATATAAACGTCTGGATCTAATTCTCTGTAAACAAACTTGGGATGGGCAGGAGACACTGGATAACCAGTCACACGTGCATTTTGGCTGAAGCTGGGTTTTATTTGGCTGCCATGATTCAGGAAGGGTTACTAAACAGTGTTTGGGGGCATTACTGGGGAAAAAAAAGTGACTATTCTTTCCTTCCACGTCCCAAGCAGTTCGAGTTTTGCTCTGCTTTCTAATTTCACCTGGAGGATTAATTTCGAAGTTTGAGGCCCACTCACACGCCTTCGTCAGGTTACATGTGATGGGGTTGGTAACTGCCCTCCCCCCCTTCACAAAGCGGCCCGTTTTCATCCTCCCTCTTCCCCCAAAGCACAGGAAGCTTCTTTGGATAATTCTACCATGGGGAGGGGGACGAGAGCGGATAAGACCCCACACGTGCCTCTTACAGCAAGATCACCCCGTGCCTGACTGCCCGGCAGCCGGTCTGGAACCCGGAGTTCGCAAGGGGAGGCCTCCCCGGGTCCGGGCCGAGCGCTCACGTGTGCCCCCCAGCACCGCCCGCGGCTCCAGGGCTCGTGACCCCGGCCCCGCCTCCGTCTGGGCGGCGCCGGGAGACCCCCGTGGAGCGCCGCGCCCACCCAGGCGGAAGACGCGCTCTCCGGTCCTCCAGCCCTGGCCCACCCTCTTGCCCAGCGTCCCTGGGACACCCCACCCCAGGAACAGCAGGACCACCCCACAAACTAGCGGGAAACACCCCCGGGTAGGACCCTCCTAGGACCCTCGCTGTCTGGCAAGTTTCCCGTGGAAGAGAAAGGGGATAAGGGCTAGAACTTAAGGCTCCTGATCCTGGGCAGACCCACTCTTGGGGCCTCTGGGACCGCTGGTTCCTGGTTCTGAGGGAACAGCTGGGGGCTCTCGCTCCGGTCCCAGCTAGTCCACGGGAACTGCCCGTTGAGCACCTTCAATAGTTCAAGTAGAGGAAACACACACCAGCACACACACCTCTGGGGATGGGAAGGCAGAATGTAAAGTCCCTCTTAAGGGCAGAGGAAGTCAGATCAGCAAAGGGAAATAAGAGAACGTTTTGGAACAGGAGAGAGACCGACAGGCCCCAAAAGGGACTGGTTTCATGATGCTCTTTCAGGGACAGCGGGCCAGAGGTCCAGAAAACCTGTTCGGGAAATCAGGTGTAGCTGTGAATGGCCTGGAGGGTCAGCAGCAGACGAATGAAAAGACCTCTCCCCACCTGCAGGGGCTGCAAGGCCCTCTTCCCACTTTGAGGCCAGTGGGGGAGGAAAAAACACAACAGACACCAGTAAGGACTACTGGCTGGCGTTCTTCAGGAACCCACGCCCCTTCCAGCTCCCTCAAAATGTGATCACTGCGCCTTACAGTGGTTTCTACAAACTATGCCAACCGTCTGAGGACAAGAAGCCCATTTAAAAAAAAATAGAGTTAACATATCTCTGTTGGCCACTTTAGACATTTTGGCCAGAGTAATGTTATCTATACTCAACTTTCATTCTCTACAAAACTTTGCTTAGTCCTGGAGACAAATTCTGTGATTCGACAATGATTCTTACACCTATTTCCAGTCAAGTCCCTCCCAAGGAGGGGTGGAGGGAAAACGTGGGAATCGTTGGCCATCAACCTCTCCCCAAGCCTATGACATTCTTCCCACAGCCTTTTCTCACCTGTAGACTCAACACGTCTCCTTTGCTCCTGGGGCACCTCCAAGCAGCTGCAACCACCAGCCTCACTCTGCTTCCCCCAGATCTCTGGGTACCTGAACTGGGAGTACAGACCTTGGCATCGACCCCCCGGGGCTGTCAAAAGGGCAGAGGGTAGCATGGACTCCTGCTACCCCGCTGGGTAGGAAACTGTTGGCACTATTGATAGAGATCAGACAAAGGTGAGGGCCTGTCCTACTGGCTTCTCCCTCGAGGATACCATCTTATATAATCTATTACCACTCAATGCGGAGCTTCCTAGCTTTCCTAACCAGTGGTGGCTGAGGCTGAGTCTGGGAGAAAATGAGAGAAGGACTCGGAGAATGGATAGTAGGGGAAGTGGCAGGTGAGAGTAAAGTGTGTCTGTTCTCTATGGGGAGGAAGGATCATAAATACCTAAGCCAAAAGTAGGGAAAGCAATTTCCCAAGACCTGAAAGAACGCCCAAATTGAGGACCCTCCGGCTTCTTGGATACCAGGCTTATCTTTCTCCCAAAGTTCTTTGATATTTGTTGCAAGTTTGACTTTTCACCTTCATGGATCATGGAGAGAATTTCAGTTTGGAAACACAAAGCGGGTGAGCTTAGGCAAAGTAACTGACTTACCTGAGTTTTTGTTTCTCGATCTGTAATATAGTCTCACCTTTGGTAGGGTAGTAAAATTCATTGATTAATGTTCCAAAGTGCCTAACATAAAGTAGGCACTCGATACATGGAAGCAGTTATTCTGGTGAGGTTTGAGGGAGACAGTGAAACCTGCCCTGAGTTCTTCTCCCCACAGCTACACATATTATAAAAGACCTCATGCATGTCCCTAAATCTCTCCACTTGAAACTCATTTCTAAAAAGAAAACATTATCACTATTCCATTTGTCTTCTTTGTAAATTGAAATTCCCTGGATATGGATACCTTCAAAAGTCACTAATAACCTTGAATTAGTCTTTGAAAGGTTTTGCTTTTTGTCCAATAGAACTTAATAATCCTAGATGCCTGGGGGGAAGAGAGGAAGGAGGGTGTTTCAGTTCTAGGGACTCAGGGTCCCTGAGTCCCCCTCTAGGAAACCCCTCATATGTCAAGAGTTCTTTTTCATTGTGTACATCTACTCAACTTAGAAAGCATTGAAAAAATTAAGAGATATATATTCTGTCTTAAGGATCCCCTCTTCCTTGCTCTTCTTCTGAAACACCATGCTGTCTCAAATTATTATAGATACTTTAGAATTGGAAACATACCTTTTTTTTTCTTACTGATGGTCATGTGAGAGCCACCTCTAGTGACTTCAAAACAATTCAAGAATGCTAGACATTTCTACCACTAATTTAGTTTCATCTCTTGAAGGCACAACTGTGTTGCCAATAAAACACGAACAGGTATGTTCGTTTTGCTTTTGCAGTGGTGGTGGTGGGGTGCATAGGTAGTGGTAAATACCCTATTGGTCCTCAGAATGTCCCTGGGGAAGGTGAATATGTAAATGTCTTCATTTAAAAATGAGCTAGCTTAGAGCGAATACCCTTCATAAGTCACTCTCCATGAATGTTTTTACTCAATGAGTTTTCTACACCTTAAAATATTTAAGTTATTTTCTTAAATATTTTTCATTGAATAGTTTTTATGACCAAGATCTTTTTTTCAAAATATGTCAGAATGTCTGTCTCAGCAGCATTTCAAAATCATAGTGTTAATGGAAGACACAAAGAAAGGTCTTTTTATGACAGAAGAGTTAACATTATCATTATTGATCAATATTGACTTCCTCATTCGGTTCTTCACTCTTAAGAAGAAATTCTGATTCATCATTTATGCCGGCTTCTTCATCTGTGCCCGGGGAAACCACATCCCCCAGAGTTTTAGATTTTGACATTCTTGTGCCTGATCTTTTCACATCGGACGAAGTGGTTCCCCAAAATGTGCTGCTGTCGGCACTCTTGGAAAAAGATGTGTCTGATACTCCTTCTGATGGATGAAAGTAAGACATAGTTGCTAGCTCAGGGTTGACAGAGTAGTCACTCTCATGGACTTTATAACTAAAAAAGAAAAGGATATGTGTCAAAAATTTGTTTAAATTGTGTACACTTGTGACTCCACTTTAAAAAGCACTCACAAAAAGTTAAAATTGTAAATCCTGTCTTAAGGTGTTAGTTGCTTAGCGGTGTTATTTAAGTGGTATATAGATTTTAGTTGTACTTTTATCATATCTAATACACGTGTGAATGAAGCATGTTTCAAACCTCAAGTCTAGAATTTAGAAACCAATTTTCTAAAACAGTAAAAGTTGCTCTAATAAAAGTTTAACAAGAAGCATACACAGTAAAATTGAATTGGAGTAAGTACCAAGGGTCACAGGTTTAAAAGACTAGGGAAATATACCTTTCATCAGAAACACAACAATCAAAAGAATGGAATGAATGGTAATTGCGAACGTGGCAATTGTGTTAGGATTTTGAAAGTAATTTGTTAAACGGTGTGTAAAATGTTTAATAATCCCCTCAATCAGGCTTGTGTTGAATTTAATATTTTTATAAGAAAGAGGAAACGGGTAGGCCTCAAAGTGTAAATGTGACAGAGATTTGCTGACTTTGAAGGTCTCAAAGCTTGCTTGAATAAAAAATGTTAGACACTAAGCAGATGTCCTATTTGGCACAGAATATGAGGGGGACTCCCCCAAAATGGAATTATCGTTCAGAGGGTGGGCGCCTCGTAGTATAGGCTTCCCCTGCTAAGTAAGTGTTCTAGGAACCCATCGACATCTGTCTACCAGCTACTATTGTTATGATAGGCTGCACTTGGCTTTAGTGAATTTCTTTGGAAATTCTTTCAGCGTGTTTGTCCTGATAGCAATTCATGGTAGGTGATTTACCAGCGCATCTGCCCCACGACTCTGAGTGTCCAGCAGTTTTTGACCAAAAGTGGCCTGACCTCTGTGCCCCACCCTCCCTAGTCATCCGATCTCGCCTTGATCGACTTTTTTTTGTTTCTCTGATGAAAAAATGTCCCCAAAGGGAAACATTTTGCCAACGTGGAAGAGGTGAAGCAAACAAACAAACAAAAACAGAAAAAGCACTCGAAGGCATCAAAATTGACAAGTTTAAAAACTGTTTGGAGCAGTGGGCAAAGCATCTTAACAGGTGAATTGCATCAAACGGAGAGTACTTTGAAGGTGGCTGAAGTTTAAACATGTAAGAATAAATACACAATTTTTAATACATAAACTGTGTTGTTTTGAGGGGGTCCCCCTCATATAGCCCTTTTATTCTAAGGCTTTCTAAACAAAGAAAAATAATACATAGATTCTCTATATCCTTTCCAATTGACTAGGGTTGTTTCTGTCTCTAGATGACTATTTAAAATACTTGGGAAAAGTTCAAGTAGGATATTCCCTAAGAGTCAGTCCCATGCTCGCTCTGAGAAGGAAAAATAGAGTCAAGCTGAATACCATGGATAAATTTGGAGTCACGTTTTTCTAACAATCTAACGAAGAGAGGAGGGAGAGAGGGTGACATCGTGCATTATTTATAAAGACGGCAGAGATCTGCAGACTTACCTCAGTTGCTTCAGTTTGTACAGCGTGGCACCACAGAATGCCAGGAGGAAAACAAAAAGGATGAGGGTCATCAATGAGATGCCCAGCATTAATTTTATCTTAAGATCCTCTAGCTCTGGCAGTTTTTCTTCATTTGTATTATTCACATCAGAGTCTGAAAGAAAAGAAAGAAAATGGCATGGAAAACAGTGTGTTTTCCTGAAGGAGTAAGAGATTGCAAAGCAGGTGCAGAGAAGCAAGCCCTCCAGCACCCAGAGCATTCACGGCTCACTCCCTGCTACCCTACACAATGCGAAGAAGAAAGCTACTCTCTATGGCCAAGTACTCTGTACTATTCCTTCTAACCTTCACAGCAGTCGGGAGCTGTCCTTAGCTCCACTTTACAGGATCACAGAAGTGTATGAACTTGCCCATGGCCCCATAGTAAGTGACAAAATCTGGTTTCAAACCCAAGTCAAAATGCAGATGTAGCAGACTTCCTCCTTGACTTTGCTAGACACTCGTGTAAGTCATCTAGCATCTCTGAAGAGAATTGCAATTAAAAATGACGAACTTACACACAAGGGACTAGTCCTTTAGGAGGAGAAAGTGTATGTTCTACTCTTGAGTCAAACACTGGTTTTTCTTTTAAGCTGAAGGGGCGGTATGCTGGATGCTCTCTCCATGAGGCTTAAGAGCTAGATTTGCCAGTTTATCACCGAGAAGATTAAACCTAGTGTACTTGCCATTACAAAAAGAAATGGAAACAACTTATTTGACTTTCCAAAATAAATAACAAAATCATGTGTGGATCCAGCGATATCAAGAGTCTTTTTACTAAATCTACTAATGAAAATATATCTTTATCACCAAATTTCATGTTTTCCAGAATATACATCTAAGTTAATAAACATTTATTTGATGACGACTATAGATGACCTGTTGTTATTTTTCCCCTTTTTCCAATCTTCCCCACCCCAACGCAAAAGTTCCAAGGATTTTTCACTGTTTTCTAGGTAATGTGTTTAGGTAATAGGTAACAACAAACTCCCATGTCTCCATTCTCTGATTTTTAAAAACTGTAATTGTCGAAATGTGACCTTAGACCAAGTGGAGTGAAATGTATAGAGGTGTCAATGACTTTTATGGCTTTGAGGCCGATTCTTTTGAGAATAGTCAAATTATGCTAAAATGAGCTGTGTTCCTGAATTGTTTTTCTATCTCCTGAAAGAGTTTTCTATAAAAAGATGTACTTATAGTACAATTAATTTACCAAGGTGGTGGTCAGAACTAGAGAGGGGTTTGGAATTCCTAACTGCTGGAAGTTACAGAAAACTAATTATAAGCTTGGGCAGTTTTTCTCTGTAAGCCTCAGCTTTCTCATCTGTAAAATGCAGATAATACCAACTTCATGGAGTTACTGTGAGGACTGACATGATAATGTATCCAAAACACCTAACATATAGTATGTGCTCATTAAATTATAAAAACACAATCTGGAATAATTTAATCACCTAAGTATTACATGGGAGAAATGATGCAGAATCTGTCATTTCTACTGCTAACCTTTCTAGACAAAAGTAGAGTCACGCCATCATCTAGAAGTACCATAGGCAAATGGCTACACTTACAAATCCAGTGCAGAACTGAGGTGACAGATCTTGGATAGATCACCAAATGCTATTTTCAATCATATATTTGTAGAACAGAGGTTTGGGGAAAATGAACATATTGCTTTGTCATGAAACTTTTTATTCATATCAGGTGTTATTTTACTCTCAAATATAATTTTTTTTTAATTTTTAGTGGAGTATGGGACTTGCTATTATAAATATAATTCATTAATAAAACTGTATTCAGCAACAGGAACTCACATTCATTGCTGGTGGGAATAGAAAATGGTACAACCACTTTGGAAAACAGTTTGGTAGTTTCTTACAGAGTTAAACATACTGTTACCATATGGTCCCACAATTGTGCTCTTAGGTATTTACCCAACTGAGCTGAAAACTTATGTTCACACAGAAACCTGTACACAAATGTTTATAGAAACTTTATTTATAATTGCCCCAAATTGGAAGCAACCAAGATGTTTGTCAGTAGGTGAATCGACTAGTATACATCCATACTATAGAATATCAGTGATAAAAAGATGAGCTATCAAGCCACAAAAAGACATGGAAGCATTTACATGCACATTGCTAAGTCAAAGAAGCTAGTCTGAAAATTTTATGTAGTGTATGTTTCCAATTATGTGACATTCTGGAAGAGGCAAGACACTAGCAATGGTGAAAAAGAGCAGTGGTTTTCAGGAGTTCAGAAACTAAGAAGAATGGAGGGATAATTGGTGGGGGCAGGTGGGGATTTTAGGGCAGCAAAAGTATGACACTGTGATGGTGGATACGTGACATGCATTTGTCAAAACCCAAAGAACTGTATATCACAGAGTGAGCCCTAATGTAGACTATGGACCTCAGTTAATAATGTGCGCCTATAATTCCGGCTATTCGAAAGGCTGAGGTGGAAGGATCGCCGGAGTCCAGCAAGTCGAGGCTGTGGTGACCGGGAGCGGCCACTGCACTCCAGCCTGGGCTGCAGAGTGAGACTCTAACTCAAAAAAAAAAAAAAATGTATCAATATTGGTTCATAAATTGTTACAAATATACCACATCAATGCAGATGTCTATAAATCGGGAAAATTGATGGGAGTGGTGGAATATAGGAACTCTCTACTTTCTGCTAAATTTTTATTTTTATTTTGAGACAGGGTCTCACTCTGTGGCCCAGGCTGGAATACACTAGTACAATCATAGCTCACTATAGCCTCATCCTCCTGGGTTCAAGGGATCCTCCTGCCACAGCCTCCCGAGTAGTTAGAACTACAGGTATGTGCCACCACGCCCGGCTAATTCTTTTGATTTTTGCAATGTCATGGTCTCACTACGTTAACCAGGCTGGTCTCAAACTCCTTGCCTCAAGCAACACTCTCACCTTGGTCTCCCAAAGCGCTGGGATTACAGGAGTGAGCCACTGTGCCTGGTCAAAATTTTCCTTTCACACTAAAACAGTTCTAAATATAAAGTCGATTTTAAAAAACAATTGCATTCTGTATATTATTCACTGACCTACTCCTTGATTTGGTTCACCAGTTCTGGGACTAAAAGCCACAAAGCAGGAAGATGGTAATGGCCATCTGCCAAACGTGGCTGGAGAAGGATGCTGTGGAATGATAACTCTCCTGAAGAGTAAATGTCCTCTCCGATATTGTGTTGGCCACCACAATACCCCCTTACACACACTGCTTTACTAGGGAAGACAGTATTACCATGAAGACACCAGAGTGTGTGTGAGTACTTATGTATCTATTAACTGAAGGACTTTGCTCTTACTTGGAATTGGGTGAAAGAATTGATCTTTATCATCCATCATCACCGTTGTTCCAGTTAAAGCTGTAAAAACAATAAATTGGTGCTATGGTGAACAACATCCACTTACTAAAATTACTGTACGTGTATGTACATGTGTGCATATAATATGTGCAGTCTATTCTCATTGTATATGGTAGTTATAGTCTATAAAGTCACCAGAAAATACCATAGTAGCAAATACTGAACTTCTGCTCCAGAGTAAATACAGGGTTAGATTCCTGCAAGTCTGGTCATGGCATTTTCACCAACCTATCAATACATAATCTCATTTTATGTTTGTTTCTGTTTAAAGATACTTTATTTAATATACATTGTCGGTTTGTTGATGATGAATCGTAGTAAACAGCCCTATAGCTCCTGCCTGAAGGAAGCTTCTCTAATACACCTATTTTCTCCACTTGGCACCTCACAGCCTCCTTGCCCTTAGGAACACGAGCCAGCAACTCAACACTACGTCTGGGGTCACTTTAAATAGCAAAATCATCAGCAAAAAGCACACAGATGCAAAAAACAGGGCACTTAAGAGACTGCAAAAATAATGCTTATTTACAGTATGAGAGCTAAGAAAAGAAGGCAGAAAGTTGCTTTGTTCTACCCCAGCTGGGACTGTGTATCAGGCAATTCACATTTTCCAAAGCTCTGCTAATATTCACAAGTGACCATGAAGGTGTTTCAAGTATTGATTTCAAGTTGACAAAGCAACACTAGTGAGTAGGTGATACGAGATACAGTTACAGAATACAAATACAGAATATGCAAACAATGAGAAGCAACTGAATATGGTATATACTTCACATATATAATGCATATAAATCTGTGTGATACATGCATTACTTTTATACACATGTACATCTATCTATGCATATACATTTCTACACATGCATAGAAATATGTATATTACATTGTACATGCATGCTTGTATACTGATGATACACACATTACTTTTATGCATGCCCATATTTTGATGCATACTTTTCATCTATGTGTGCATTCCCATGTTTCTGTGCCCATCGTTCCAAACTGAAAGAGGGACTGTATAGGGCAAGAATCTTATTCAAATATTTTAATAACAAATACATTAAACTAAATTGGCTAGATTTGAACACTTGAAGGAGAATAAGACTTTTGGGGGATGAGTAATCAGAAAATGTGTGACATCTGATTATCTTTCTGGATTTGTTTTGCATTTGCTATTATATATGACAGCAAAATGTTGACTTGTTGTGTCTGAGAAGCATTTAAACTGATTGTGGCTTTACTTGCATAAGATTTTAGAAAAACATTTCCCCAATTACCTGACTGTATGAATTTACCTTTAGCTAACATTGTCCAAAATGCAGGCACATTTGGAGTTGTTTCTGCTTAAAAAAAAAAAAAAGGATAATAAGGTAATTTGGCTTGAGTAATATGCATTTGTTTGTTAGTCATTTAGCAGTTATACCTTGAACTCCTACCATGTGGTAATTCATACCACTAATTATGGGCGTGAACAAGGCACAGGCTTTATGCTCAAGAAACCCACCCTAATTTTTGGATGCAGACAAAAATTGTTGATTTACATTGCAGGATAATGAAGGCGGTCACAGAAATGCACAGATGGTATGCTCAGGACCTCATTCAACTCATGAAGGCTGGAAACCCCTCAAAAGGGAGATGATGCACCAATACAGACTTAGAGGATTAGGAATTGTTTGCCAGGCAAACAAGGTGAGGGACAGCTCATTCCAGCTGTGAGCAAACTCAGTCACGAGCACGTTCAGTGAGCTCTGGGAGCTTCAGGGAGTCTGGAGTGAAGACGGTGGATGGGAATGTGACCAAAGATGATCCTGGAAAGTTTTCACAGTGGCCAGATTGCCTCGAACTACAATGCTTTGTTAAGAAGTTAGAACATGATCCCAAACCTACTAGTGAATTACGAAAGACATTTAAGGAGTGGGATACCAGGATGATCAGGTTTCTATTTTTAAACAGATCATAAAAGATAAGCTTTTTTTTTTAAGTAGTGTTAAAGAAGCAAACTAATTCAGAGTAACCATATGAGAAACATACTTGGATTGCATGAACTGGAGAAAATAGGATTTCATGTAACGACAGGTAAGTATCCATTGTCTTCAATTAGACCACTCATTCAGGACCTTAGAGGAGAGCCATCCTGGGTGGTTACAGTTTTACAAATTTTTTATAAGGAGCAATATGCTTGGCAGGAAAGTAAAATGGTGATTTTGATTTTGCACCCTCCCATTCACAGTTCCCTGCCTCAAATAGTCTTAGAAATGCTAATAATTGAGTCTAACGAGAGACAAGTTTGTCCGTTGAGCAAATAGAAATGTCTACATTATTATTAAAAAAATTGTATTTAAAATATACTCAATATATTTATATAACATATTTATAGAAATATAATTTATATTTATACATATTAACGTATCAGTATGTATTTAATATAGACATACATATAATACATTTTTATTAAAATCAAATTCTATTTTTAAAAAAGTTCACTTCCTATCACTTGTCAGGTATATCTGAAGATTGTCTCTTAGATTTTAGAGTGACTTTAAAAAATTTAAAGATTTTAGAGGGACTTTAAAATATGAATTTTTTTTTTTGAGGTTGGGTCTCTGTTACCCAGGTTGAAGTGCAGTGGCAGGATCATGACAATGATTCCTCATGGAAGCCTTGACCTCCTGGGTTCAGGCGATCCTTCCATTTCAGTTTCCTGAGTAGCTGGGACTACAGGCCCACACCACCATGCCTAGCTAATTTTTAAATTTTTTGTAGAGATGAGGTTTTGCTATTGCCATGCTGGTTTCGAACTCCTGGGTGAGAGCAATCCACCTGCCTTGGCTTCCCAAAGGGCTAGGATTACAGGCATGAGTCACCATTCCTGGCCTAATATATTACTTTATGTAATGTTTAGAGTAGTGAAACTTAAAATTTCAAGTCATATAATGATATGCTTCAGGTATGAATACAGTATAGTAGTTTTAATACTTTGACTATTTTTATGAGAGGGTTCATTGGTAGTTGTTTCTTCCTCATAGGTGTGTTTTCCAGGCGTAGTTGTATTGACGATTTTGTCTAGAAAAAGAGAAAAAGAATTCTTAGCAAATAAACTGACTAAACATCTGTGATTAGGCATATTTTAAAGCTAAAAATGGAACAAAGCAAAAGAGAGAGAAGAAATGAAAAGAGAAAGACATTGACATTTTCCTGAAATGAAGAAGCAAGAAGAATGTATTGGAGAATAAAGTTTCTGTGATAATGGGTCACCTGAGGTGGGATGAATATGTCTATGCTTTGTGAAAGATAGGAAGAGCAAGGAGCAAGGGACTACAAACTTTCGTAGAGGTAAGGACGATCTGTTGGAGGAGATAATTGGCTCTAGATGTTGCCCTGCACAGACCCTGAAATGACCGTCTCCTCCAGAGCAGCTTGGTTGCTGGTCAGTGTAACAACAGGAGAAAGGGAGGCCACGTATGTGTGCTGGTAAATTGGAAACAGAGGTTTGAGTATAAATATTTTGGATTACAAATCAAGGACTTTCAGGCCCAATTTAGTATATGTCTTAGTTTATAATGCGTCCCTGTGGAGGGATGTCACTAAGGAAGTGGGGACAATTGTGAATGAAGGACCATTATTCCCCCAGGTAGATGGTCATTTTAGTTAACTTTGCTTAATATGGGAGTCAATAAAGTTCCCCACGAAATACAGGGCACACGCTACAGTAGGAGTTCTATAGAGAGGCAGAATGAATTCAGGCTGAGCCTGCAAACCCATGACAGGCATCTTGCTGGCAAGAAAGGGTGGAAAGTGGAATCCATTACTGGAATCGGTGGCGATACCTGTAGGACTCAGAAAGTTGGTAAGTAATCCACTACGCAACTCATCCTCTGGAGAAGAGCATCTGCATTGCCCCAGCTTACCCCCTAGCCTTCGGAGTTGTAAAGGCTATACTTAAGCAAGCAATCCTTAGTCAAAATTATCCCTGAAATCTCCATTTCTTAAGGGCTTGCTGCTTAGGACATCCCCCATCAGACTAGCATGTCTCCTCCCATCAGAGCCCCACTGAAAATGGCAGGAATTTCTAATTCCAATTTAACTTTCCTTGACAATCCTCTGGGGCCCTGAATTGTGGAAGCAGAAGTTAGGGTTTTACGTTTTTCTTCCATGGCTCCTGTGGTCTGTCCTCAATAACATATAGCCTAAAGGAGTTGGAGGTACATGGTCCGCTTAAGAGCTGCCTATCTGTGTCCTGTCTCAAACGACTCAAGCTGTTGTTTGCTGTGCACAAGCAAGATTCCCAAGAGTGATTTACTAATTAATGTATGTCCTTGAAATGTCACCATCTCATTTAAATCCTAAGGTTTAAAATTGCTTAGAAGATTCTATTATTGTCAAGTAGCTTTATTAATAATCAGGCATTACTGATCCAGCTTTTCCCAATATGGAAGTTATCATAGCCAGAAACAGTCTCTCTTTGCTGTTTAAAGTAAAAATAAAAACAAGAAAGGAGTGAAAATGTGGGTTTAAGAAAGATGTATCATTTCCTAGAATCCTAAATTGAGTTGTTATTTAATTTTTCTTTCCACATGAACTAAAAATACAAGGTTTGGAAATGCAAGAACCTCCCTGGCTTTGGTGTGGAAGGAGGTGTGAGAAAAACAGAGAGGATGGCCAAGAGACCCGCTGGATCCCAGAGTCGCAGAATCTATGTTAGAGGGAAAATGTGAGTCTTGTTTAGGAATGATGACTTCTTTTCTCTCCAATACTCTCCAGAGCGGTTTTGAAACCCTGCCATAATGGCTTTTACATGTGCACCAGCGCCTTTCAGGACTTACAGTTTTTTAGAGCAAACTTCAGATCGGTTGTTGCGCTCACGGATATTTCAGACTCACTGCCATTTGGATTTTGTGTTGTGAACACATCTAAAAGCATAACATCAAAAGTTTTCAGCAAGTAGCTAAGTCATTTTTTGTTGCTTTACATTTTTCATCATCTGATTTTTTTTCTTAAAGCATTTGTTCTGGTTACTTTTTAAAAAGGCTAATAAAAAGTATTTAAGTCATTGTTTCATCCACAAAATAAGAAAGTGAGGCAAGGCTCAAATCGAAAATTCATGAGGAAGAAACCAAACTAGTATCCCAATGCTTGATGACTTTTTCTGAGAAGCATCTATTGAGGAAATTCATGGAAAAAATATGTAAAGACTTGTGACTGTGCAATGTTATCACTGTTTGTATTGACATGACTTTTTTTAAAAAGTAAGACACATCTATCTGCCCTTGGTCTTTCTGTTAGACTACGGAATACTTCAGTTTAAAAAGCATATAGTTCAGGCCGGGCATGGGGGCTCATGCCTGTAATCCCAGCACTTTAGGAGAGACAAGGCAGGAGGACTGCTTGAGCCCAGGAGTTCAAGCGCAGCCTGGATGACATAGCAAGACCTTTTCTCTAGGAAAAAAAAAAAAAGCATATAGATCATTAATAATCAAGGGCCCCACACATACTCGTATTTAAATATACACATAAAGAATCCTGCTCTTAAAAGTTATCAGTGGGGTTAGTTGCAATTTAAAACTGTTTGTATGCAACCAACCAAAGGGTCAAAGTAAGTTAAATCAAATCAAGATAGCTGAATGAACATATACACGTTTCTCTTCTCTCCAAAATCTCATTAAAACGACAGAAAATTGTATACATACATGAATGTGTGTGTATTTCTTATGCGTATATGTATTTATTTCTCTCTTTATGGGAACATAAAGAGATATACACCCAAGTGTGTATGTGACAAGAATGTACAAGAGACAATCTGTGCATAATCTAAACATGCTCTAGCAAGATAATAGATAAATTATGGAACACACACATAGAAAAGTGTCAATAATATTTATCATCATTTCTGAGACATTTCTGAGATAGATCTATGGAAAAATACAAGGAAATCGCAACCCAACATTCATGTTGTGAATTATGAAAATATAAAAATTAAAGCACTGGTATTTTTCTAAGAATAGATGAATTTTAAAAAAGAAGCTGGACTCAGTAGCTCAGCTTGTAATCTCGTGCCTTTGGGAGGCTGAGGTGAGTGGATTGCCTGAGCCCGCGGGTTTGAGACCCGCCTGGGCAGCAAGACCTCATCTCTACAATAAATAAAAAAACCAGCCAGGCGTGGTAGCGCGCGCCTGTAATTCCGGCTACTTGGAAGGCTGAGGCGGAAGGAACGCTGGAGCCCAGCAGGTCGAGGCTGCGGTGGCTGGGAGTGGCCACTGCACTCCAGTCTGGGCGACAGAGTGAGATTCCAACTCAAAAAAAATAAATAAATAAAATAAAATAAAATAAAAAAGTAATTGTTAACAACTGACTCAATTTTATATGAAAAATTATATTAAATTAGAAGCGGGTTTCACATTAGTGGGGAATTGGCATTAGATTATTGCCTATCCTCCTTGGAAAATATGTTTTAGCCCTATTTTATGCCATACACAAAAATAATTGAATTTAAGACCTAAGAGTTAAAAAAATGAAAGTTTTAGAAAGATAAAGAAAATAATATTTTAGGTTGATAAACAAGACACAAAATTCAAAAATTATAAAGAAATTAAAAGAATTGATTTTCTAAAAGTTGAAATCTTCTCTATGGTTAAAGATACTTAAACAGTCTTAAAGATAAGCAACAATCTAGAAGGAAATACATATTACTTTCACCATGAAAAACGATTAATATACTATCTAAAAATAATCCTTGCAAATAAATGAAAATACAACCATGATCGAAAAATGGGCAAGGATATGAACATGCAAGTCACAGAAGTGGAAATAAAATATCCAATAAATACAAGAAAAAAGATTCAACTACAAGTAACCACGTGCAATTTAAAAAAGTAATTTATTTCTTATCAAACGCAAAATATTACAATTAACAATATTTATTGTGGGCGAGGCTGTGGCACATTCTTGGTGTAAGCCGGTAGATAATTTTTGCAGGGCAATGTGGTGTTATCTGTCAGTATTTTAAAAGATTTCTCTTTTAATCAACAATTTCAGTACCTGGTGTCTGTCTAAAAAGAAATACACCCAAGTATGTATATGAGACGAGTGTACAAGGGAAATAATGCATAGAGGCCAAACGTCCTCTAATAAGATAATAGTTACATAAATTATGGAACACCATTTTGCGGAATAGTATGAATCCACTTAAAAATGAAATAGATGTGAGAGTTCCAGAGTTGTTGGATAGGGAAAACAGGTCATAGTACAATTCATTAGTATGATCCCATTTATGTTATATGCATGGGGGAATGGAGTATGTACATGATATAAGATATGTTTTTCCTTTAATCAAAGTAATCAGGCACTTGCTTACTGATCCTCTATTTAATTCAAAACAGAAGCACATCCTGAAAAAGACCTGATTTGTATTGCACCATTGTGCTCACAGGAGAGGCAGCCTTCACACAGTATGTGGTAGATTAGATACCACTTCTGCCTCTGCTTCCCGGTAACTATGAAACCTTTCTGAGACCAGGAATTTTTTTTATTTTTTAGCCAGCAAAAAAGGGATATTGATTCATCAAGGAAAAAAATAAAAGTACCACTTACGCATTATGGTTTTCAAAGCACTTGGGTGTATGTACATCTTTGTTTTTCTATTTTTCTCTCTGAATAATATTAATAAAGATCCCAGAATAATTAATTTCAATCTTAATTTCTTATGTTTAACAAGAATCTCTTAGGAACTTTTGACTTTGTAGAATGGTACACCTTGTAAAGACATGAAGCGGAAACCCATATGAAGAATGGCGAATTATAAACAAAATTTGCATGGATCTTCCAAACATCCAGAAGTCACTTTGGTATAGGGAATTATGTCCACCCAAAAAAGATATGTTTAAGTCCTAATCCCAGTACCTCAAAATATGACCTTATTGGGAAATAGGGTCATGGAAAGTGTAATTAAAATGAGGTCACGCTGGAGTAGGGTGTGCCCCTAATCTGATACAATTCGTGACCTTATAAGGGAAGGGAAATTTGGACACAGAGGTACAGGGAGAATGCCATGTGAAGAGAGAGGCGGAGACTGGAGTGATGTGGCTTGAAGCCAAGGAAACCCAGGGCTACCAGAAGCTGAAAGAGGCAAGGAAGGATTCTCATCCAGTAGCCTGGGTGAAAGTCTTTACTTGGTTGATCGTAACTTTGATTTTGGACTTCTAGCCTCAAGAACTGTGAGAAAATAGATATTTGTTGTTTTGAGCCACCCAGTTTGAACTTTGTTGTACTTTGTTTCAGCAGCCTTAGGGAACTGGTACACAATGCTAAATAAATTTTGGTTAACACACCATCGAATTAAGTCAGTTGTTACTAATGTGAATAAGTAGCCACAATGCCATGATGAACTATAGTAGTTATAATAATTACCAAGAGAACCTTGTTAAACTTCACAACATCTCATGAAAAATGTTGTAGGAGATAAAGATTTCATTTTACACACTAAAAGTCTATATGGCAAATTAGAGTTTAAAAGGTAGGAAATAAAATGATGGTAGTTTAATCAGCTTTTGTTTATATATTGCTATTAACTTTAAGACTTACATTGTTTAGTATCTTTAAAATGATTGTTATTCTTCTCATTACCAGGAGTATAAGTGTGAGTATAATCCTTAGACTTTTCTTCTTCCTCTCTATTTTCACCTTCATATAAAGACATAGCTTTAAGAAAAGTATCACAAAATGTGGATCAGAAATATGTTGATTTCTTTAACTACTTTAATTTTCTTTCTTTGTTTCTCTCCCTCCCTTTATTCCTTCTTTCCTTTCTCTTTCCTCCTTCTCCCTCCCTCTCTCTCTTCCCCCCCCCCCCCCCCCGCTTTCCTTCTTTCCTTCCTTCTCTCCCCCCAACTCCTTTTTTTTTGAGACAAGTTCTTACTCTGCTGCTCAGGCTAGAGTGCAGTAGCATAATCATAGCTCACTTCATCCTTGAACTCCTAGGCTCAAATGATCCTCCTACCTTAGCCTCCGAAGTAACTAGGTGCACACCACCACACCCAGCACTTTCCACAAAGGATTTGAGGCAGATGTTTAAAATTTAAGTTATAGCATGTCTCCAACAATAAATTTTCTGTCATCCTGTAGAAAATTGCCATGTATCAATTTTCCACGACCATGTATCATCCTTCTTACCTACCATTTCTATGAAAGTTTTCAATGCCAACTCCACCTTCAATAGTGGGCTTCAACGTGCTATTCCCTAAGGAAAGAACCTTAGAGAAAAAAAGAAATACTATAAAATTCATTGGTAAATTGATGGGATTCATCCAGTAACCTAGCGCGTCTTCTCAAAGCCTCCTTACTGTGGCCCAGCAGGTCCTCTGACTAACGAGGACATTATGACATCACTGCCAAATGGGGGTCAGTTCCCAAGAGCTTTGTGACTCAATCTGAAGGGTTTTTTTTTTTTATCATCAAGTGATGGATTTTAGCTTTTTTTTAAAAAAAACCATTATGAGATTTTCTTTGACAGTTAATAAATTTGCTTTCATGGTAGAATGTTCATTATTGGTTTCTGGATTCTAAAGAAACTTTAATGAAACTGTGCTTCAAGAGTTAAAGAAACCAGTAACTAACAAATTCTTGAGTTTATAACTCTGGCAGATAAGAAAAGAAGCCATGTACTGAAACATGGAAATGTCTTCTGCTTATGAGATAAAAGAACTAGCTAACATCGTTGAACCCAATATGGCCGAAAGGAGTTTGTGGAGAATGAGCTTACTGAGATCACAGCCTGGATTTCCAATGCATGTTTCACTCTAACACCCCTCAAATTTGCACGAGGAGGCATGAAGAAACAACCGTACGTGTTCGAGGACTTCCCAGATCTCCACTGTGCTTCCACCAATCACCTGACAAACCCAGAATCCACTCCCTAAACCTTTTCTGATAAAATTGCTGTCTTGAAGCCAGGACTGGAAGACAGATTTGAGTTTGAATCCTGTCTCCTTGGGAGTTGACTTTTAATATAAGGCTTTTCTTTGCTCCAAAACCCAGTATCATAATATTGGTTTTTAGCCCATTGGGAAGCAAGCCCCTTTTGCTCAAAAACATTAACATTGTTGATAGTAAAATCAGAACAAACCTTTTTGGTTTTCAAAGCATTACAATGTTATATGACCTCTTGAATAACTGTCATCAAGATATCTGTTAAAAGTAGTCAGAGAAACCAAGACTCAATCCAAATGCCCTGTGAGTTCTGGTTCATAGACTACCTGAACTATCATTCTTTAGGAAAAGTTTTCTGATGCTCATTTTTTTTTAATTTGGATTTTAAGGCACAAACACACACATACACTTTTTTAAAAGACAAGTCACTCTGTTGCCCAGGCTGGAGTGCAGTGGTGTGATCCCAGCTCACTGCAGTCTAGATCTCCCTGGCCCAAGTGATCCTGCCCGCTCAGTCAGCTGAGGCACTGCCTCCATGCCCGATTAATTTTGTGTTTTTTGTCAAGAAAAGATCTTGCTATGTTGCCCAGGCTGCTCTCAAACTCCTGGGCTCAAGTGATTCTTTTACCTTGGCCTCCCAAAGTGCTGGGAGTACAGGTGTGAGCCTGGCCTAAGACCTATGTCTTTTTTGTTTGTTTGTTTGGGTTTTTGTTTGTTTGTTTTGTTATTTTATTTTAAAGATGTGGGATACAATTAGATCTATATTTATAAAATATTTGTTTTGCTTAAAACATTTCTATCAGGAAAATCATCTTTTACTTCACATAAGATGGAGGAAGTAATCTAATATTTAATTAGCCAGAAGAGATTAATTGGCCAGATGATCAATTTGGTATAGATAATATTATCCATGTATTAATCATATAGTAACTTAAGTGATAAGCAATAAAGACAAGAAATCAAGTGAACACTATTTCTATTCATGATATTAAAGGATCACCTAATTTCCCCTCTCAGTTGTGATTATTGTTGATGATAGTCTCTCAATATTAGAGAACATTCATAGTTAAAGTGACATAATGCAATGAAAAAAAGCATAGATTTAAAAAGACATGGAAGTTTTTTCAGTGTACTGAAGGCTCACAAATTAAGTCTAACCTGTGGTTCTTGAGGGAGCCTGCCCGGTGAACTGGAGAGTAGATTTACCCAGAGTCTGTTGCATAAGAGAAGGAGGGAAGCAGAGAGGACTTACCCTAAGGGGAGAGAGATGGTCAGGCAAGCTAGGCCCAGGGTCAAAGCCTTACTCAACTGAAGGGAGGTGTTCCAGGCAGCGCACTTTTCTTATAGACCTTTGCTCATTCTCCTGTGACAGCCTGGAGGTGAAAAACAGATGTAAGAACTGACAGGCCTCTGGCGCCCTCTGCTTCGGTATCTCCCTAACAGAGGGCAGCATGGAGAAGGAGAGAAGTTTGAAGCAAGCGTGCTCTGTGTCACTGCAAACTGTCACACAACTTTGGATGACATAGCTCAGCCACAATGAAACCTGGAAGAAGTTCCAGGGAGGGAGGGTGGCACCAGGTAGTATCCGCAGTTGTTCCTGGTGATAAATAGGAGTCGGAACCAGCTGGAGAAAACATGTTTACTATTGTGTGCCCAAAGTCTGGCACACAGGGGCTTGATAAATGAGTGAATAACACTTTATTTAGTTCAGGAAGCACTTAAGTGCCAAAAGTCAACCAAGTGTTTTCTAATGACACAAATAGAATTTCCTTTGTTGTTTCATCATCTACCCCGTCTGTTGAGTCCTCTCATATTCCTAAGATAGTTACTTTTTTCTTTTCTGCTTTATTTCTTTCCTTCCATCCTTTCTGTGTCAGATTCTTACTCTGTTGCCTAGGCTGGAGTGTAGTTACATGATCATTGCTTGCCACAGTTTCAACTTTCTGGGTTCAGGTGATGCTTCCACCTCAGCCCTCCTGAGTAGCTGGAACTACAGACACAGGCCACCAGGCCTGGCTAGTTTTGTTGTTTTCTTCTAGAGAAGAGGTCTTGCTATGTTGCCTAGGCTGGTCTCAAACTCCTGGGCTCAAGCAATCCTCTAGCCTCAACCTCCCAAAGTGCTGGGATGGTAGGCATGAGCCACCTCGGCTGGTTTCTTTTCTTTTTCTTTTTCTTTTTTTTTTGAGTTGGAGTCTCACTCTGTCACCCAGACTGGAGTGCAGTGGCCGCTCCCGGCCACCGCAGCCTCGACCTGCTGGGCTCCGGCGATCCTTCCGCCTCAGCCTTCCAAGTAGCCGGAATTACAGGCATGCGCTACCACGCCCGCCTGATTTTTTTTTATTTTAAATTTATTGTAGAGATGAGGTCTCGCTGCCCAGGCGGGTCTCGAACCCACGGGCTCAGGCAATCCACTCACCTCAGCCTCCCAAAGGTCTGGGATTACAGGCTGAGCCACTGAGCCTGGCTCTTTTCTTTTTCAATTGCCTTTATTTGCAATTCTGTTGTTTTTATTTTCTTATGTGAGGAATGCTCTCCATAGGCAATTGAATTGTTAAAGTGCAAATATGGTAGGTATTTTTTAAAACATTAGACTTATTGAAACTAAGTTTATATAAAAATTTATTCTATCATCCTGTGTTTTATGATCAGTACTCTTTTTTTTTCTTTTTCTTTTTTTAAGTTGGAATCTCATTCTGTTGCCCAGGCTGGAGTTCAGTGACACACTCACGGTCACCCCAGCATCAACCTGCTGGGCTCTGGCAATCCTTCTGCCTCTGCCTTCCAAGTAGCTGGAACTACAGGCGCATGCTACCACACCCAGCTGATTTTTAAAACTTTATTGTAGAGACAAAGTCTCATCAACTTGCCTGGTCTGGTCTTGAACCTGTGGGCTCAGGCAATCCACTCCCTTGGCCTCCCAAAGTGCTGGGATTATAGGCTCGAGCCACCGCGTCTGGCCTAACAGTACTCTTTTTAGAACATATCAGTAGACCTTATGGGCTGAATTGTATCACCCCCAAATCATATGTGGCAGTCCTTACCGCCAGTACCTTAAAATGTGGTGATGCTTATAGATAGAGTTGTTGCAGATGTCATTAGTTAATATGAGGTCATACTGGTATAGAATGAGACCCTGATATAATGTGACTGGTGTTTTCACTAGAAGAGAGAGAGTTGAATTCAGATAAACACAGAGAGAATGCTATGTGAAGACGAAGACAAAAATCGGGCTGATACAGCAACAGCCGAGGAATGTCAGAGATCGCCAGCCAGCCACCAGAACCAGAAGAGAGGCATGAAACGGATTCTCCCTCACAGCCCTCAGGAAGAACCAACCTTCATCTAGGACTTCTAACCTCCAGAACTACTAGAGAAGAAAGTTCTGTTGTTTAGGCCACCCCTTTCTGGTAGTCAGTTTGTGGTTACGGCAGCCCTAGGCAAACTTAGCTGCCTAGACAAACTTATACAATAGAAAGTGCCTTTGGGTGACTAGGAAGAGATTACGGAAATTAAAATTGCATGCCTCCTCTCCGGAGGTCATTATTTGGGGCTGTAATTAGCACTTTCATTCATGTAGATTATTAATCACTCAACGTAGTATAACATTTCCTTTAAAAAAAAAAACAGGCATCTATTTATTTCCTGTACATTAAACCATATTTTAAGCCTTTAAAGTAGACTCTGAGAAGAATCCACTGGTAATACCAAGAATACCATAAGATGTACTTTGTAATCCACGGCGTCATTTTATTTCCTGTACGATTTCATGTTTCTTGACCATAGCTGGATTGCAAATCCCTCTCCCATTTCTGTGTCTCCTCCTACAAGACCACTGGGCTTAGAGTAAGAGGCCATACAGCGGGGTGTCAAAAAAATGTATACACATTTTAAGAGATGTTCGCCATAATCAGAAGTGTCTGGATGCTGATGGTCACCACTTTGAACACCTCTTGTAATTGCAGAAGACAAAGATGATTTGTATTCATCTTTTTTCATCAGTACCTATTGAGTATTACAATTTTAATAATGGTTTCTCCTTTCTTAAAATGCGTACGCATTTTACTGGCACCCTCTGTGTATAATCATGAGCAAGTCAGCTCTTTTCTAACCCTGAATTTTTGCTCATCTGGAAAATGGGGAAATTTAATTTCATAGCAAGTTGCATTTAGTTACTTCATAGATTTGTGTATACGTATTATTTTTCTTCATGCCGAAAATAATTTAGAGAGGTGGTGAGATTTTAATATATCCATTTTTTTAAGAGGCAGAGCATACCAGTATCCTAATGGGTAGTTCAATACAAATAGAATAGTTAATAAAGTTGAAGACATCGGGGGGTACAAAAAAAACCCCTGGA